TACACTCTCACTCTTACTGATACCAACCTATTTATGATTTTATAGTGTGTTTTCTCTCTGTCTCTCTCTGTCTCTGTCTCTGTCTCTCTCTCTCTCATGTTTGGTATAGCTAACATGCAACTTATACTCAAAATTAAGTTTTTTCAGTGATTCAGTCTCATCAACTCAACATACAAAGGAAAATTATAAAGCAAGGGCAAAACCCACGTGGAGAAAGAGAACTAAATATACATATATGTGAGTTTGGAAAAACTGCAGCTTTGATGACTTTATGCTTGCTAAAAAGAGGAGGGGGGATGGAAAACTACTGTTATCTGAAAAATGGAAAGTTTTGGGGTTTTTAATGTTTGCAGTACTGATACTGGTCAATGACTAACACCCCCATCAACACTTCTAGGAGCCAAACCTGGGAGTCATCATTGCCTTTTCCCTTTCCCTTTCCTCCAACGTTATATTTATGTGTCTTCAGAGAAATAGAACCAGTAGATATATGTTTTAATATAAGGAATTGATAAATTGGTATATGTGTGTATATATGAGAGAGTGAAAGAGAGAGAATTTATTGTAAGGAATTGATTCACATGATTATGAGAAGTCTCATGATCTGCAGTCAGAAAGCTAGAGACCAGGAGTGATGATTAACAGACATCCTTATCTTAAGTTGAAACTTCCCAAGCCTTTAGACACAGCTTCATTTCTTCAACTAATTATAAATCAAAGAATCTTTAAACCCACTTATAACTCATAAGCCCCCACTTCGAGATGTGCCCCTTTGTTGGGCCAAACCGATGTATGCCTTCCTCATATTGACCTGATCTTATGTGTAATTTCTGTCTTCATAAATGTATAAAACCAAACTGTAACCTGGCTATGATGGACACATTTTCTTAGGACCTTTGGAGGTCATGTCCTGTGAGTCAGTCACACACAGGTTTGGCTTAAAATAAACCTTTTAAAATTATTTTACGGAGTTTGTTATTTTTTCTGTTAACAAGAATGTAGTCCACATTTTATGGATGAGAAAACTGAAATGTAGAGATATTTATTGATGCAACAAAGGGTGGTGGATGTGGGTTTTGAACCCTGGTTTTCTGATCTATATTTGCATCAAAACACTCCAGTATGGTCATCTCCCAAGCCAGCAGGTGTGGACAATGAGGCCTAGGACCAAGCTCCTTGTTCCTCACTGTTTGTGTTATCATTTTGCCCATTGCAGCATCACTCAGAGGCTGATCAGGGAAGAAACACAGCCAATTACCTAGCACATGGGCCTTGATCTGGAAATCTAAGATGAGCTTTCCTCCCCAGATCCTGCAGAGCCACCTCTGTAACTAAAAGATGGTAGTGTAACTAAAGGATGTCCCTGGGGTTTGAGTGGGAGGGGGATGGATAGAGCAGGCAGGATGTGGGAAGGGGAAATAATCACAGCTATCACTTGTTCTTTCACATGTTTTCCCATTTGATCCTCACAACAATCCTGCTAATTAAGGAGGAATTGTTAGTTCCATTTTACAAATAATAATAATAAAAAAAAGCTTAAAGAATTTAAGCTCTTTGATCTAGGTCATATGGCTAGGAAGTGGGAGAAAGGGAACTGAAGCCCAGATTTCTATCTCCAACTCCATTGTTCTTTCAATGATGCCATTTGCATTGAAATAGAGGCAACTAAAAGGTAGGATACTGAAGCCTCCAGGTCTAGATTCCCTCAGAAGTGAAAGGGAAGGGGAGGAGACCAGCAGGCAGATGACATGCCTTTGGGTAGTCCTGGCTGCCTTTGCATTGATGTCTCTTCTGCTAGAATGGCCTCCTCACTCCTCTTCCCCCATATGGGGATGACAACCTGCTTTTGTTTTTTTTTTTATTTTTTATTTTTTTTTGAGACAGAGTCTCGATTTGTTGCCCAGGCTAGAGTGAGTGCCGTGGCGTCAGCCTAGCTCACAGCAACCTCAAACTCCTGGGCTCGAGCGATCCTTCTGTCTCAGCCTCCCGAGTAGCTGGGACTACAGGCATGTGCCACCATGCCTGGCTAATTTTTTCTATATATATCAGTTGGCCAATTAGTTTCTTTCTATTTATAGTAGAGACGGGGTCTCGCTCTTGCTCAGGCTGGTTTTGAACTCCTGACCTCGAGCAATCCGCCCACCTCGGCCTCCCAGAGAGCTAGGATTACAGGCGTGAGCCACCGCGCCCGGCCTTGTTTTTTAATAAACTTATATTTTAGAGCAGTTTCAGATTTACAGAATTATTGCAAAAATAGTACAGTGTTCCCATATAATTCACACCCATTTTCTCCTATTATTAAGATCTTACATTAGTATGGTACATTTGCCACAATTAATGAATCAATATTAATATATTATTACTATTAACTTAAGTCCATGTTTTATCTAGGTGTCCTCATTTTCTCCTGGTATCCTTTTTGTGTTCCAGGATCCCATCCAGGATACCACATTACATTCAATAGTCATATTTCTTAAGGCTCCTCTTGGTTTTAACAGTTTCTCAGACTTCCCTAATTTTTGATGATGGTGACAGTTTTGAGGATTATGGACAGGTCTGATGTTTTTCTCTTGATTAGATGGGGATTGTGTGTTTTTGAGGAAGACCACAGAGGTAAAGTACCATTCTAATCACAGTGTATCAAGGGTACATGTTATCAATATGACATTACTCTTGATGTTAACACTGATCACAGACACAGAATAAGCTTTATGTATATTCCTGAGTCTCTCTCCTTGTTTCACATTCTGTTTTTCCGCTCTGTTCTCTAATGTCATGGGAAAAATTTTTAAAAAGTGAAAATTGGATGATAAATAATGGAAAAGAGAAACATTTCAAAGGAAAATTAATTGTTTGTTAAACTGCATCAGAAAATTTCAGAGACATATGTAACTTAGGCAGATCTATGCATACAAGTTGACAGAATTATGACTGAGGAAAATAATTTCTGTATTTTATCTCTGAGCATACTTCACATTTACTTTTCTGTTCACCCCAAATATTCCATGTCAAATAACTAAAAGTAGACATAAGAATTTAAAATTTAAGAAGAAAATTAAATTTTCAATGTTGAAATCTAGAAATGATTTAGGATAATTACACGTCATTCAGTAAAATCAGAATGGAATTGATCCTCTCCTAGGAGTTAGCCAAGAGCTTTTCCAATCACCCTTCTAAATTTTATTCAGAGTTTGTTTGATGGTCCTATTTCCTTTTCCATTACAAATCTACTTCCTTGGGAACTTCGATTTAATATTAACTTTTCTTTTTGTAATGAAACTTGAAAGTGAGTTCCTAAATAAGAAAAAAGAAAGCTGAAATTAAACTTCTTTTGTGGCATTTATTCATGTGTCATTTATAATGAATTTGGGGATCAGAGTGCTCTCCACATCTTAAAAATATCTATTTACATTGCATTGTGACTTTCTTAAATAAAATCAATTATTTTAAATAAAATAATTATTTTGTCAGAAGGCAAAACAAACATATGGACATTAACATAAGATCATAACTGTACCTGATTGAATTTAAGTTCACACTAAACATTTATACCATTCACACTAGTCTTTATAATGTTAAAAACTCAAGAATATTTTACTTCTTTAACAGTTATGATCCTGGTAGAGTTTGCTCAGGATCATAACATCTTAGGGTGAAAAAGAACATAAAAAGGCAGTCTGGCTTAACGGAAAGTTCAGAATAGACAGATCCTGCCTCTGCCCTTAATTAGGGGAACAACTTGGAGTTGCTCAACTGGGAGCCATAGAATCTCTGTCTATAAAGTGATGGATTGTACCAGGGTGGTCTCAAAAGTCTCTTCTTGCTTCAGTATTTTGACCCCAAAACATTATTTCTAACCACTCAACCCCCAAAATCATAAAACATCTACAAAATAGCTTTCTATGAAAATTTCTGGGCACATGGTCTCAGCAAGTCCTTGTATATCACTAAATTATCTATCGCCCTTTTGTTGGGAAATTAATAATTCATTATATGATGTTACCAAAATAATGCTGAATTAAATTTGGCTTGTGCCTATTAAGGTATTTTTCCATTCAGAGTGATGCTTTTCAAAGAAATACCTTACTTAGGATGACTACTTTCATTCAAAATAAAAAGCAAATGGAAAAAAATCAATCTCCCTAATCTCTTTTTGTGAATTAATTTGGTTGTTTGCATTATTTGAAAAGTTGAGTATCATGTGAAATTACCTCTGAGTGTACAACTTCCTTTGTAGCTAATATAAATACATAGACTATTCCAAGGTCGGCATACTCATAGTTACTCATTTGAGAAAATAGAGTTATGCATACCTGCATATCATAGAAGAACACCCACACATACAAAGACTGCATTTTTACCAAAACCTAAAATGAGAAAATAAAAGAACTAGAATGCCTTCCTACCACCTCCACCCTAACCACACCTTCCTGCCCTAAGCCTATTGCCCAAACCTGGCAATGCCACAACATCTGCCTCTTTGAAATTTGAAAAGATGTTGAGAGGAAAAGGTGAGTGAAAGAATCAGGTCAGAAAGAGAAACTTGTGAAAAACAGATGAAGAGCAGGAAATTCAGTTGGGTGGGGCATTCTAGAGTGTATTGCTGTCATTGGAAATGTAAGAAAGCAATTAAGGCTGTAAAAATAACTATGATTTTGCTCATTCTCATATTTCCTCTGCTATGCAGAAAAACTAAATGAACAGTGGAACAATTCAGTTGAATGAGACAAACAGGATTTGTTTTAATGACTTTGAATAAATTTTTATCTCTGCAACAACCCATGATAGTTCAAAAAATTCAATGAAATTCTGGCTTTGATCATTTGGCTTGGACCTCTTAAAATAGATAACTAATTCAACTTAATTTCCTTTTCCTCATGCCTCCTAGATGGTGCTTCATCTCTACAGAAAGATCAATAGTTCACTTCCACAGTGGCCTCTCTTGGAACTAACTTAATTCTTTATCTCCTTCCCTCTGTCTCTTTGGATTTTGCTTTTAGAGTATAAGTTTGCTGAGACTTTTCAACCTTTGCATGTTCTTTGAAGCCAAACAACCTGCTGATTCCTTGAAAAGAGCAGGTAAGTTCAAAGACAGGAACCCAAGAAAAACCAATAAAAAGGTGCTGTTAGAGAAAAGCGCTTCTGCCAGGATATAGCCAATCAGGACTCCAACAGTTTGATAAACCTGTATACGAGGCAGATGGAGATGCTATGTGTTGATGCTCTATATTTCCTGAGGAGTTCAAGCTAAATGAGAATTCTACAGGTCTAGAGCTCAGCCAACTGCATTCTAATATTAAGGCCAAAATTTGTTGGTCTTTAGGACCAACCTATTTTGCATCTATAAAGATTCCATGAAGCAAAAATTTGAACCAATTATTTGGCTTTAGGCACTTTTAAGCAGACTGACCATAGTAATTAAACTCTCAAAACCAAAGCTTGGTTTGTGAATGCATTTAATCCCTTGATACACATATGGTTCCTTTTTTTCATTTTTCATACTGAAAAGCAAAGAAAAGCTTAGACAAGGAAGAACTTGTAGCTTGCAAAAGCACATAGTCCTAGGGCATTTATAATTAATAATCAAGCTGCAATTTCTCTTAAGAGCAAAGAGGGTCATCTATTACATTAGCATGTACAAACAATTTTGTTTAATAGATCCGAGCTGAGCCAAGATGTTTGGCATACATCAGCAGCCTTGTCAGCATTGCAGAAGTAAAAGAGTGAAAATTTTACCAGCATCAGCATTGATTCATTCACTCACCCCTCATGCAATGACTAAATTAATGTGTATCTCTATCTCTACTGAATCAGAGTTAAAGAGAGATTAAAACATTTGAAACATATCAGTTGAAAGTGGCTGGAAAGGAATTTGATTCAATTTTATTACAACAAACATTTATTGAATATTTACATATATAATGCACTGTAGTGGCAACAGGCATCTGAAGTAAATGACACCTTCCTTCAACCAGTTTATGGAAGAAACAGTCACAAACATGACTATAATGTGAGGTATTGAAATAAAGTTTAGATGGAGGCACAGCATGATGAATCAAGAAATAATCAACCCCTGCGCTACAAATAGGTCTGAGTTAGAAGCATAACTCCATCATTTATTATTGGTGTGATCCTGGGTGAGTTGCTTAAACTCTCTGAACTTCATCTTGCTCATCTGTAAAATAGAACTCATGAGAATTGCTTTATATGGTTGTTATAAAGATTAAATTGGATAGCATACATACGGTGCTAAATTAGGATGTATTATATTCCTTTCATCTTCCTAGGATTAGAAACAATTTGTTCAGGTGAGAAAAGTCAAAGAAGGTATCACTGAGGAAGCCGTAAAACTTTAATAGGAGATGTGGTGAGGTGATTTCATTTGCAGAACAAAATGAGTAGAGGCAAAGTTATTAAAGTACATGAATGTTTGGACTATGCCAAATGGTCCAGTGTGACCAACTCAGAGAACATAAGGAAAAGGTCTGAAATCCCAGAGCACAGAGGAATAATTAGTGATAAGAAGGAAAAGAAGAAAAAAAGAAAAGAAAGAAAGAAAAGAAAAGAAAAGAAAAGAAAAAGAAAGAAAGAAAGAAAGAAAGAAAGAAAGAAAGAAAGAAAGAAAGAAAGAAAGAAGAAGGAGAGAAGAAGAAAAATCACTTTTACAAGACAATATTGAAGAGACAGAGAAACATGATTTTGCATATATTTTAGAAATATAGGTGGCTATGTAAAAGATGACTATCTGTGAACATTTAGGAGATTACTAAATAGCCTTTGTAAATGTTGATGAGGATAAGTTTGGACTATAATGGTAAGAATAGATATAAGAAAATGTATATAACAAAAGATTCTGTGATAGAATTTGCAAAAGAAAGTAAGTCCCTTTATTTGGGGGACCAAAACTTGTAAGATTTAGATCCCTCCACACCCCATCATGATTTTTTTCCTTTTTTAAGAATTAGAAATTATTAATAATATTTCCCATTATTACAGTTGGCTATTATTTTTAACAAAATGGGTCTAAGGTAATAGTATCTTTCTCATAAAATAATTGCTATCTCAGCTGAAGGAGATTTAATAATATAGATAAAGTCTATGTTTGAAGTTGTTTGTTGAAGAGGGCAGTGGTCTTAGATAAGCATGTATCGAAATCATCTGGAGGGCTTGTTAAAACACAAGCTGCTGTGTCTGTGCTCAGAGTTTCTGATTCAATAGGTCTGGCTGATACATAAAAATTAGCTTATCTTAAGACTACACTTTGAGAGCCACTGGTATATAAAAGCTTATTGCTTTGATTAACACCTAGTAGGTTTCCTCTGGGTAGGGACTAATTAGATTAGTCCACTGGGGAGAATGGGAAAAGTATTCTGTTCTAAGAAAAATAGTCACAGGATTAGCCTACCCCTTTCCTGACACTAGAGCAGTAGTAGCCTGGTAATTCCCTTCAGAGTTTCAGTTTGTATGTTTTGGCTACCGAGTTGTCTGTCATTTGCCTCAATCATGAATGAGCCACATTGATTCCAGGCTTAGGACAACTTGGACAATTAAAAATATAAACTGATCCATTCCTAAAATAACTACATTCATCCATTCATGAGGGCCTTGTCTTCCAGCATTGTTGCATTGGGGATTAAGTTTCCAACATGTGGATTTTTGGGGATAGATTCAAACCATAACATCAAGGCAACATTATGGGCATTTAGAAACTATCCCTAAGATTTAAAAGTCTTCAGCATAAGTCAACATTGATGTTTCATTATGAAATGCCCTTTGGAGATAATATCAGAGAAAGAAAAATTGGACTAAGTAAACAGATCCCCATTATGATACTTCTTAACCACATACATTTATATGTTCTTTGTAGATTAATAGGGCATTCAACCTAAAATCACTCACTTTCTCATCAATTGAATATTTTTCAAGCATTTAAATTATTTAATAGGACCTCAAACTGTTAGATTAACTTTGTGGTGAAATCAAATCACCTTAATGGAAACGATGACTTGATACTTTTTCTATCTAGGGATTTTCCGCATTTTTAACCTGCATACAATGAAACAAATCATAGAAATATAAAAGCTAGAGTAGACTGTAAAGATTACTCAATCCAACTCTCTCATTTCACAGGTTAGAAAATGTAGAGCCTCCTTGCCAATGTAGAGACCAATGTGCTAACAGGTGATCTCAGTAAAGGCAGGGTCTGGACAAGAATCCACGTCTCTGCACCCCAATGCTGGTGCTACCTTCCGAGGGCACCTCAAAATTATCTCACTACACATAAAGACTAGTCTCTCAACAGGCACACTCTCCTTTCCTATTTCTCTTTACTCTAAAATTTAAGAACAAAAACAAAATCCCTGATCCAAAAACAGGATATGTATGAAGCATCTCCAGGAACCATCTATATAAATGAGAGCTGTGGGTTTACCTCAGCATTCTAAGTTGAAAAATGAATACGGTATATTAACACTAAGAAGTGTGGCAGAAAAAAAATCCTTTCTACTCAGCACTTTCCTTTTCCACCTTAAAAAAACTTAGGGTGCTCCTACATAAAATGCCATTTTAAAACCTGAAGCCAACAAAGGATTATTTTGCCAATAGTGATGTCAAACTAATTTGACTGAATCATTCTTATTTCATGTAGATGCCACTGTAGGCTTAATATAAATGTGTATATATACACATGATATACAAATGTGTGTATATATATATATATATATATACCCACACAGGTACATAGATATACCCAACCCATATATATTTATTTTATATATATAATTTTTTTGCCACCCCCACCGTCTTCTCTAGAACAAGTTTCTTGAGAAGGCCAGGGCAAACAAAAGAACAAAATCATTGTATTTCTAACACATCCTGAGATAGAAAAGAGAAATTAATAAGTGGTTAAAAAAGAAAAAGAAGAAGATTAATTAAACGTCACATTCAGTTAAAGAGTGCCAAATGAGTCACCTTGGATAGAGGCCTTTGGGCATTACAGACACAGGCTGGCTTTCTATACTAGGCTTCAACTGTGCCAGTAGAAATTGCTGCTGTGACTGATTCAACAGTTGTGCTTGTTTCTCAAAGCAGAGTGCTACTTCTCAATACAGCCATGATCCCACAGAGTCCACCAAGAGCATGGCAGGCTTAATAGAGTTTTCCTTAGGCCACTGAAGGTAGCACCCTTCCCCTCACTGTCATCACATTATTTTTCTCTTTAGTATCCTCCAATGTAATTTAATTGTAACTTATCTTAAGGGCTCCAAAAGGCATGTCCTCAAAAAGCTCTATTTCCAAGAGGCCCTCTTTCATTTTTGGGTAATAACTGACATTCAAATAATGTGGGTGGTACCAGCAAATTTTCCTATAAAGGATACATTTGAAGATATTCTCATTCTAGGACTTTAGTTGTGTAAACAAATGGAGTAATTTTTTAAAAACTATTGTTTTACAAGTTTTTCTTTTTATCTGTTTCTTGAATTCAAGGATGACATATTTGAGGGCTCCACTAATAGAAGTCAAAATTGGATTTGCTACTGCATAGAATTTAAATACTTAATTCCTAAGGCAAATTTTCTGAGAAATTGTCTTTCCCTGAGAACCAATCTATCCTTATGGATCTTGCTCTTTTGGGTCCTTTGGACCAGCCTGTCTCAGTTTTTCTGGTGACAATGTTTTCTAAATTTACAAATGTGGAAGGGAGAGAATTCTAAGGACTGGCCTTTTATTCTCAGGAGAAGGACATACAATGTAAATCTGAGTCATCCCCACTTGTTCAGAGAGGCATCAACATCAATGTCAATTTGGGTGAAATGAGGCAAAGGCAGGACCACCTCACAGCCCGAATCCACTTTCCCAAGTGCTGAATTATTGCCAGTTGCACCATCTTAAATCCTGCTCAGTTGGCTGCTAGCAAGTGCCACATCATGCTTGCTCAGCCCTGGACCTGTTTTGGTCCTCCTGGAGACTACACACAAGTTTTTGGAGCCTCAGGTTTTAAGGGAGGCTCTTTAAATGAGTCATTCTCTACTGGTGAATGTAGCATCTTGTTTTTCAACAAGGAGGCAAGAGGAAACCTA